ATGCATCGGCATTATTGCTCCTCTCCAGAAATTCTTTTTTGAATCCAAGGTTTATTAGAAAAATGATCAGTATCTTTTTTTTCCAATGTAGCAGGCAGTTTTACAGGACTTCATTCTGTAAATTTTATTGTTGATTTTTAGAAGTATTCTAATGGAAATTTTTTCAGGAACTCAATGACGCGTTTTCAATTCTTCGAAAAATTATTCCGTCAATGCCTTCTGACAAAATGAGCAAAATTCATACATTACGGATTGCGTCTGATTATATAAGATTTCTAGATCAGGTAAAACTATCCCATTTCGACCTACTAGCACATTTTTTCCCAATAATCATTGCTTTTTCTTACAAACAAGTCATGTACCTAGATGAAACGAGACGATTGTAAATTATTCGGAGTAGATATATTTGATGAAAAAGGTGGCTACGGCCTTCAAACCTCATTCAACATCTGGAGAGGAAGTCATGGTCTCACGCAAAGCAGCGCTATCAGTGGGTTGTGTTTGTTATTCTTCAAAACTTATTTGAATGCTACAAAAATCTTTTTGCCTACATTTTCATATATAGATGAAGAAGGATGTTACTCAGATACACCCGGTTTAATGCCACCAATGGGTATGCCAACGTCAATGCCATGTCCTATTCCACATGTGAACTATTATATGGGTGGTTATGTAATGAAAGCAGGTAATCAAATTCAGTTTTTTAAATCTTTAACTCTTTCAAATCAGTCATTCATCGTGTTCATTTCTTCTAATATGTTTAGCCGCTACTACAAGTAAGCGCGAGCATTAGCTTTAAACAAAGGGCATCGTAATGATGCCCACAGATTATCCCGCTGGGTTTATAACCATTGACACGATCGCATCAAAGAATGGCATCTTGTAATACAATATCTTGCTTATCTGCCGATGAGATTCCTAAACTAAGGGATAGAGCACCTTTATGCAATTTCCAACTATGGGTTGCATAAACTTCGTTTTCTCAATCGGTCATTTCTCGCTTGATAAGGAATCCTGGGGGTTTTTTTGTCAGAGACGTCCTTAAGTCTAAAACTTTGCTCCATTGCTTTTTCCGATTAGAAGCACACTAATTACATTCCATTCTTAGAGTCTATTTGGCTAATACTCAGAAGAGGGCGTCTTTAATTTGATCACAGTAATTGCGTTGCCAATTACACGGAAATGGCTGCCTGTAGCGTGAAACAGCGAATGGCGAATGAAGTCCCAATGCATTACACCTTCAAAAAAGCGCTACTTAAGCAATCATTTGGTCAGCTAAGCGCAAATCTTATATTCATTTATCGTGATGCTTCACTGCATATACCGCATCTACTACGACGCCTCACTTAGATCTCTACTGATTTTCAACTGTTTACATCCGCACTCAGTCAATACTTTGGTTGTTTGGAATTTTGGTTTGAAGACATTTTGTTGTGCCGTGCTCCCGACAAAAAATGATCGTGAACAATTAAAAATTTTTTTT